CAGGAGCTGGTTTTTTGAAAAGATCAACAAAACAGACAGACCACTAGCCAGATTAATAAAAAAGAAAAGAGAGAATAATCAACTAGATACAATAAAAAATGATCAAAGGGATATCACCACAGATTCCACACAAATACAAACCACTATCAGAGATTACAGCAAACAACTCTATGCACATAAACCAGTAAACCTGGAAGAAATGGATGAATTCCTGGACACTCACACCCTCCCAAGCCTAAACCAGGAAGAAGTCGAAACCCTGAATAGACCAATAACAAGGGCTGAAGGTGAGGCAGCAATTAATAGCTTACCAACCAAAAGAAGCCCAGGTCCAGATGGGTTCACAACTATATTCTACTAGACACACAAAGAGGAGCTGGTACCATTCCTTTTGAAAATATTCCAATCCAAAAAGAGGGAATCCGCCCCAGATCATTTTATGAGACCAACATCATCCTGATACCAAAACCCGGCAGAGACTCAACAAGAAAAGAAAACTTCAGACCAATATCCATGATGAACATAGATGCAAAAATCTTCAATAAAATACTGGCAAACCTATTGCAACAGCACATCCAAAAGTTTATCCATCACGATCAAGTAGGCTTCATTCCAGGGATGCAAGGTTGGTTCAACATACACAAGTCTGTAAATGTAATTCACCACATAAACAGAACCAAAGACAAAAACCACATGATTATCTCAATAGATGCAGAGAAGGCCTTCAACAAAATTCAACAGGCTTTTATGCTAAAAACTCTCAATAAACTACGTATCAACGGAATGTATCTCAAAATAATAAAAGCTATTCATGTGACAAACCCATAGCCAATATCATACTGAATGGGCAAAAACTCGAAGCATTCCCTTTGAAATCTGGCACTAGACAAGGATGCCCTCTCTCACCAATCCTATTCATCATAGTATTAGAAGTTCTGGCTAGAGCAATCAGGCAAGAAAAAGAAATAAAGAGTATTCAATTAGGAAAAGAGGAAGTCAGATTGTCTCTATTTGCAGGCAACATGATTGTATATTTAGAAGACCCATCATCTCAGCCCTAAATCTCCTGAAACTGATAAGCAACTTCAGCAAAGTCTCAGGATAGGAAATCAAGGTGCAGAAATCACAAGCATTCCTATACACCAATATAAAAGAGAACCAAATCAAGAGCCAACTCTCATTCACAACTGCTACAAAGAGAATAAAATACCTAGGAATACAACTAACAAAGGATGTAAAGGACCTCTTCGAGGAGAACTACAAACTACTGCTCAAGGAAATAAGAGAGGACATAAACAGATGGAGAAACATTCCATGCTCATGGTTAGGAAGAATCAATATCGTGAAAATGGCCATACTGCCCAAAGTAATTTATAGATTCAATGCTATCCCCAACAAGCTAACAATGACCTTCTTCACAGAATTGGAAAAAAACACCTCAAACTTCATAAGGAACCAAAAGGGAGCCCACATAGCGAAGTCAATTCTAAGCAAAAAGAACAAAGCTGGAGGCATCACACTACCTGAATTCAAACTATACTACAAGGCTACAGTAATCAAAACAGCATGGCACTGGTACCACAACAGAGTTATAGACCAAAGGAACAGAACAGTGGCCTCAGAGGCAACACCACACATCTACAACCATCTGATCTTTGACAAACGTGACAAAAACAAGCAATGGGGAAAGGATTCCCTGTTTAATAAATGGTGTTGGGAAAACTGGCCAGCCATGTGCAGAAAGCAGAAACTGGACCCGTTTCTGACATCTTACACTAAAATTAACTCCAGTTGGATTAAAGACTTAAACATAAGACCTAACACCATAAAAACCTTAGGAGAAAACCTAGGTAAAACCATTCAGGACATAGGCATAGGCAAGGACTTTATGACTAAAACACCAAAAGCATTGGCAATAAAAGTCAAAATAGACAAATGGGATCTATTTAAACTCTAGAGCTTCTGCACAGCAAAAGAAACAATCATTAGAGTGAACCGGCAACCAACAGAATGAGAAAAAAATTTTGCAATCTATCCATCTGACAAAGGACTTATATCCAAAATCTACAAAGAACTAAAACAGATTTACAGGAAACAAACAAACAAAGGCATTAAAAGTGGGCAAAGGATATGAACAGACACTTCTCAAAAGAAGACATACATGAGGCCAACAAACATATGAAAAAATGCTCATCATTACTGGTCATTAGAGAAATGCAAATCAAAACTACATTGAGATACCATCTCATGCCAGTTAGAATGGCGATCATTAAAAAATCTGGAGACAACAGAAGCTGGAGAGGATGTGGAGAATTAGGAACACTTTTACACTATGGATGGGAGTGTAAATTAGTTCAACCATTGTGGAAGACAGTGTGGCACTTCCTCAAGGACCTAGAAATAGAAATTCCATTTGACCCAGCAGTCCCATTACTGGGTACATACCCAAAAGATTATAAATCTTTCTATTATAAGGACGCATGCACATGTATGTTCATTGCAGCACTGTTTACAATAACAAAGATTTAGAACTAACCCAAATGCCCATCGATGATAGACTGCACAGGGAAAATGTGGCACATACACACCATGGAATATTATGCAGCCATAAAAAATGATGAGTTTCTGTCCTTTGTAGGGACGTGGATGAACCTGGAAACCATTATTCTCAGCAAACTAACACAAGAACAGAAAATCAAACACTGCATGTTCTACTCATAGGCAGGTGTTGAACAATGAGCACACATGGACACAGGGAGGGGAGCATCACACACTGAGGTCTGTGGGTGGGGGGACTAGGGGAGGGACAGTGGAGGGTAGGGAGTTGGGGAGGGATAACATGGGGATAAATGCCAGATATAGGTGATGTGGATGGAGGCAGCAAATTACATTGCCATGTGTGTACCTATGCAACAGTCCTGCATGTTCTTTACACGTACCCCAGAACCTAAAATGCAAAAAATATAAATAAATAAATAAATAAATAAATAATAGCATGAAAGAAAAAAGAGTCTATTTTGTGCCAAGCCCTGAACTAGCACTACATTTTAATAGGTATTATTCTAGCTGTAAGTACAGACAAAAAATTTTATACACACACATGCAATGATTAAAGATTGTTATACCTGTTACAAAGGAAAGAGTGTGCAGGGATGATGAAGTTTATGAGGTGATCTACTGCAGATAGAACAATGAAGGAGGAACTCCCTAGAACTTAAGTGAAGTCACATTTAAGGTGAGAGCTGAAGAATGAGAAACCAGCCAATTTTTTCATTTTGTTTCATTGTGTTTTAATTTTTGTAGGTATATAGTAGGTGTATATGTTTAAGGTACACATGAGATATTTTGATAGAGGCAATGCAATACATAATAATCACATCAGGGTAAATAAGGTATCCATCACATCAAGCATTTATCCTTTGTGCTGCAAACAATATAATTATACTCTTTCAGTTATTTTGAAATGTATGATTAAATTATTATTGACTATAGTCATATTGTGCTATCAAATACTAGTTTTTATTCATTCTAATTTTTGTACCCATTAACCATCTCTACCTCCCCTCACTACCCTTCCCACCCTCTGATAACCGTCTTTCTATTCTCTGTCTTCAAGAGTATAGTTTTAATTTTTACCTCCCACAAATAAGTGAGAATATGCAAAGTTTGTCTTTCTGTGCCTGGCTTATTTCACTTAACATAATGACCTCCAGTTCCATCCATGTTGTTGTAAATGACTGCATCTCTTCAGTATACGTACCACATTTTCTTTATCCATTCATCTGTGGATGGACACTTAAGTTGCTCCCAAATCTTGGCTATTGTGAATAATGCTACAATAAACATGATAGTGCAGGTATTTCTTCAATATACTGATTTCTTTTCTTTTTGGTACATACCTTGCAGTGGGATTCCTGGATCATATGGTAGCTCTTTTTTTAGTTTTTTAAGGAACCTCCATACTGTTCCCCACAGTGATTGTATTAATTTACATTCCCACCAAGAGTGCATGAGGATTCCCTTTTCTTCATATCCTCACCAGCATTTATTATTGCCTGACTTTTGGATAAAAGTCATTGTAACTGCAGAGATATCTCACTGTAGTTTCAATTTGTTGTGGGTTTTCTCTTCACTCTGTTGTTTCCTTTGCTGTGAGGAAGCTTTTTACCTTGATGTGTTCCTATTTGTCCATTTTTTTTTTTTTTTTTTGGCTTTGGTTGCCTGTGCTTGTGGGACATTACTCAAGAAGTCTTTGACCCAATGTCTTGGAGAGTTTCCCAAATATTTTCTTTTAGTAAGTTCATAGTTTGAGGCCTTAGCTTTAAGTCTTTAATCCATTTTGTTTCGATGTTTGTATATGTCAAGAGATAGGAGACTAGTTTCATTCTGCTGCATATGGATATCCAGTTTCCCAGCACCATTTATTGAAGAGACTATCTTTTCCCCAATGTATGTTTTTGCACCTTTGTCAAAAATAAGTTGACTGTACATTCATGGATTTGTTTATGGGTTATCTATTCTATTCCATTGGTATGTGTGTCTGTTATTATGCTAATATGATGTTTTCATTCCTATAGCTCTGTACCATAATTTGAAGTCAGATAATGTGATCTTAAGGCCTACTGGCTTAAAAATCAGTCCCAGGACCTAACTGAGAAGTCAAATTGCAGAGAAGGCAATTTGAAGTTCTACTAAACCTCATATTCTGAAGTCTGAGCCTTGATAGGGAAAGAACATGGGATCCTGGGACATAGGATAAGAACTTCTAGATGAAGGAATTTGAGAACCTTGAGTCCTCAGAATCCTTGAACCCTCTGGGCCTGTAGAGTTAGTTCACTATTTTTTGTCTAAAAACATTACGGAGGCATCTCTTGAGGCAGATACTTTGCAAGATGAGAATATTCCTTCCCCAAGATTTGTTCCCCTCCCATCATGGCATTAACTTTGTTCAACTGGTTAATATTAACCATAAGCAAATTGATGCAAAGTAACTCTTCAAATACTATTTCCAATTTCTATACCCAAAATATTTCCATTGCTCAACACATTTTTGAAACTCTATTTATGAAAAATTTCATATTTGTGCAGTGCTTATGTGGCTCTGAATGTCTATAATACTACTTTTTGTAATGGATGAATGATTAAAAGATTTTGAAGTCCAGAAATAAGATTAGATTTGCACAATACTTACTGTGACCTTCACCCAAATAGGTCCTTTCAACGACAGTAAAATTTGGTAATTTAGTTCTTAAATGTCCTATTCATGTCAGGCCATTAGGAAGAAGTCATTTTTTTTCTTTCTGACCCACCTCTTAGCTCTGCTGTAATATTGTCAAGGTCTTCTGGGATAGTTGCTCTGTTTTACTTGTAAGGGCTGTACATTTTATTGGTGGCTGAAGTGATTCATCCGCATACCAAACACAAGCAAAATTCTTTGGCATGACAGATTTTACACAAAAAGAGAAAAAACTTGAAATAAATGGCAACATACAGGTACAGCTTCCTTTGAAGCTTTTCAAATCTGGAAAATGCTGAGAAAAAAAGAGTTTAGTGCATTCCATGTGTAGTTCAACTCATTTACTATATTATCCTTTTTATACCAAATAATATGGATTAATCAATCTGCATAGCACCAAACGGCTTCAGAGAATAATAGAAACATACGTGGGTCACCTGTGGAGTAACATTTTTTTTTTATGTAGCATCTTAGAATAAGAATTGTCCCAGCTCGCTTTGTCAGTGCAGGAAACAATAAATACTTGGTGAAATGAGTCCAGGTCAGACTATGTGCCCAGTGCTGAGATACAAAGGTAAATAAAACACATTCTACCCTGGAGGAGCTCACAGTTTGGCAGAAAAATCAGAGATGCTAACAAAGGAGGATAATAAAATGTGATATTAGCAAGATGCCGTAGGACTCTAGTAAAGGGTAAAATTAATTGTTAGATGGAAGCGGGGTTTGCAGGAAAGGCGACGTCCTTCAAGACCCACTAGGCGGAGAAACAGGGGAGAAGGGAAAGAGAAGAGAGGTTTCTAGGAAGCGTCTATGAGGTTTCAGTGAGTAAAAGCACTGAGTGTTTTCATGAGACTGGTTTGAAGGAAGCACGAAGGTGCTAACAGGAGGATAATAAATTCGGTCTAGAAAGCAGGTTGAGATCAGGTTGTGAAAAGTACCATAAATAATACGAGGGAGTTTGGATTTCATTTACCCCACGGAAAAGTCAGTTTTTAAAGTTCCATATTGCCTACAGGACTAGGTTTTCCAAACATTATTCCTGGCATGCTAATTCTAAAGGTGTTAATAAGAGTTATACCAAAATACCTATGCAGCTTTTAGTTGAAAGGGGAAGGATAATTGTCTGGCACAGATAGTATGACACAGTGGTTATGAGAAATAATATTCATAGAGAATTTTTCTGAAGCATGTACAGTCCATCCAGCTCTTAGATATTGTACATTAAGCCGAACTCAACTGCATACTGAAGCCCAATAATCTGCCTCCTCCTAGAATGGATTTTACCATTCTGCTCTTCTGCAAGATGAGAATGGTCTATGTTGAGAATTGTAAGAAGAAATGGTTTGATTCAACATTTATGAGTGCTACCTTCAAATAGCTGGTTTGTCTTTATCTTAGTGTGTAGGTACTATAATTGATTGTGCGTCTGCTTTTGCCATAAACACTAGAAAACTTAGAGTCAAACTTGTGTCTCACTACCAAAGGAGGATCCTTAGAACATTCATTTTGGGGTAATAACTAAACTTAGGATTTTTCTAACTTAAAACATTTGTATTCCCTTTGCCTTCATCTTTATTTGATCTTATTGCAAGCAGTTTTCAATCTCTCTCTGATCCTTTAGTGGGGGAAAACCTGAGATTAAGAAATGTAATGAACATACATCACTTACCACAGCATCTGGCATACTGTGCATATTAACTAAGGATTTGTTTTTGTTATGGTGATTTTTATCAACCCCAGCCATTTCATTTCACAGTCTTTCCCTGTTGACAGAAGATGAAAAGTAGCGTATCTGACCATCAGAAATGTTTTTCAAATTCTACTTTCATGGTCTCAAGTTCCATTAAGCACATTAATAGACAAATATTAGCCAAGCAATTACTGATTGCAAGGCCCTGAGCTTTGTGCGGTGAAAGAGACAAATCAATAAGTCAAAGAGATGGTAAGTGGAGCTTCTGATCTGATTAGGTATCATATCACGATATGTCTCAGGATCCTCATCTGTAAAATGGGAATAATAATATAACCTACCCCATAAAGTAACTGTAAGAATTCTGGCTTCAACATGTAAAGTGAAAAGATAGTGCCTGGCACGTAAGTGCTCAGTTAATGTCATTTGTTTCATTAGCTTTTATTACTGCCTATTATCTTTGTGTGTGGGCAACACAAGAATGTGCAATCATTAGGGATTCTGTGTTCAGACATAGGGGAAATTACTTCCAGCTCAAGCTATTCAGGAAGCCTTCCCAGAAGAGGTATGATCTGAGATAGTCTTGAAGGATAGAGAAAATTCAACTAGGCAGAGAGAAACACGGACATTGATCCTTGTGGGAATCCAGTTTAAAAAGGCAGAGGATGGGGGGATATCCCTTTGGGAAGAGACCTCATGACGGCAGGGGATTCATGAGGGGTCTAGTAGGTGGCAGGCCAGGAAAAGACTGCTGCCTCCTCTTTCCTAAAGGCTTACGGGGTCAACACTGACATCCTGCCTCTTCATGGGCCCTTTCCAACCATCTCCGAAAGAAAATCATGTGCAGTTCTCTGTAAAACCTCTGATCACATTTCTGCCTCCTTTAAGTACCTTATAGTCAACAGGAAATCATTACTTCATCGTGTGGTAATTATAGGGAGCTACAGATACCCTGTCCATTCTCCCACTAAATTCCTACACGTAGACTGAAAAAAACTATGATTCTATTTCAGGCAGGCGAGTGCTTTGGAAAGAAAGTGCAGGAAATGTGAAATGAGAAGGTGGCAGCAGAATTCCCATCTGTGCAGACATTGAAAGTCCTTTATTACGGAATGTGAGAGAGAAATCCGGCGAGTTATGGCAGCTATGGCTGGACTGGCTCCAGTGCGCAGGCTGCAGAAGGCAGCCGCCAAGATGACTGACGCCATCTCAGAAACAAGAGTTCCAGGCTCCTTCTCCACATTTATCTGTTTGTTTAAAGAGGGAAAATGTATTTTTTTAATATCCCATAGTCTGATATTTATAGGCTTCTTAAAATTTGAAGCAAAAAAAACTTCACCAGCTCAAAGTCATTAATTTTGATAATTAAGGACAATTCTTGTAGCAAGAAGAGGAAAACCAATTTTAAACTGCAGTGGTGAAATGTGAATCAATGAGGTCTGTGACAAATTTGATTGATGTGTGCAAGCAAATAAGCCTATTCCTATTGAAGACAGAAGCCTTAAGAGCTGATGGATGGAGATAACAAGAAAAGAAGAAAATTCCAATTCTAATTTGTTTGTTTATACTCTGACTTATTCCAAAATCATTTGCACTTTCTGAAATTCAAGCTGAGAAGTCAAACTATGCAAAGAACACCTGCTGACACAATTGACCATCACATTTCTTTCTTTTCTTTTCCTTTTAATTTTTTCCTATTGTACTTTGGGCTCTGGGGTACATGTGCACATCCTGCATCCTGCAGGATTGTTGTATAGGTACCTACATGCCATGATGGTTTGCTGACTCCATCCCTGCCATGACCATCACATTCCTTAAAGCAAATGCTAAACTTTGTCTAGGAAAATGGATTTTCTCTTACTTTTCTCTTGTACCATGCAGCACCATTCTGAGTAGGGAAAAGAGCATCAGTCAAGCTGGCAATGGACTTGAGTCAAACTTACACTCTCCATTTACATCACTATCCTAAACGCCACAGGGAAATATGTTTCACAAAGGGAACTTTTCTCAATTAAAATTTTTATGAAAGTATAAAATACAGACATATGCATAAATCATAAATATACAGCTTGATGAATTTTTACAGTGTAACAATGTCCATGTATTCAGCACCCAGATCAAGAAACAGAACATTACTGGGCTCCCAGTTGCCCCCTATCAGTTACTCTATATCTTCAAGGTAACTACTGTCATGATTTCTAATACCATGAATGCAACTTTTGCCTGCTTTTGAGCTTGTATGAATGGAATTGTACATCACTGACTCTTTTATGTCTGGCTTCGTTCACTCAACATTATGTTTGTGAGATTCATTCATGTTGTTGCATGTAGTTGTAATTCATTCAGTCTCATTGTTGTATAGGATTTATTTAAAGTGACATGATTTACTATCCATTCTACATTAGACATTTAGATTATGTTCTGTTTGGGATTAATTCAAGTAATGCTTTTGTAAGCATTCTTGAACATGTCTTGCAAATATTGGGATTATACCCATGAGCAGAATTGCTGGATACATTTTTGAGTGCTTGCTATTTACTGAAACCTAGGCTAGGTGCTAGAATAAAACCACAAAAAGGCCCTGACTCTGCCTGCAAGGACGTTGGAATCCAGTGAAGGACAGAGATTACTGGCAAATACTATTCCTCATTTGTAGGAGTAATGCACAAGAGTATCTTAAGTTGGATTGGGGTACAGGGGAAGGTGGTGGAGTCAGGATAGGCTTTCCAGTGGAAATGACACTCAAATGAACTTTTGAAGGATAAGGAGGCATTGGCCAGGGGAAAAAGTGCAAAGGCAAAAGGAACAGCATATGGAAAAGCAGAGATGGGTGAGAAAGCAGGTAAAGTCCAGAAACCTCATGTTATGCCACAGAAAAAAGGTGGGAAATATGTGGTAAAGATGAGGGCTGAGTAGATAAGTTGGGATCCTATCATGAAGGACCTTGTTCACCACCTAAGAAATACATACATAATTCTGAATGTAAGGGGAGCTACAGAAGATTCTAGAGACATTGAGTGACCAGATCCACTTTTTCTGGTGGTTATATGGAGTTTGTAATGGAGAAGGAGAGCCTACACGCTGGAAAGTGACGGGAACGCATGGTTTGTCTGGAAAGGGGAATGAGGTACAGTATCTTAACAAACAGAAACTAGGTGATTCTTTGAGGAAAGTCTTGCTTTGGCCCAATATCCAAGCCAAAAATCTAGATGGCTTCTATGGAATACAGAGTAGGGCAGGGAGAGGGGAAAGGAGCAAGGGAGGTATGTGTATGTGTGGGTGCCAAGTTTCAATGTGCAGAAACCACACACAGTAATTCATGCAGAAAGCTTTTGAGGCCAGCAGGCCACCTGCTGACATCCAGACTGGTGCAGGCAAGGAGCCCTCTGCTTGAAAGCGGAAAGGGAAAGCATATGTGTGGGGAGTTCAAGCCAAAAAGCAAATTCACTACAACATGAGTCTGCAAGTGGTGCCAAGATCTCATAGCGGCTTTCCATCCCCTCTGGAGACAGAGATGGAATGCTGAGTGGAGATGAGCAAGGTCTAATCCTGCTCAGCTCCCTGCTAGAGTCACAGGAGGATTCTAGAAAGTCTTGTTGTCACTGATTGAAATAATAAATTCAGTAGAGAAATTTTATGTAAATTTCCCTAAAGTGGTGGCTTGGTTGAGCCCAGAAACTTGATGTTAGGCCTAAAAATGGAGACTTGATATAGCAGAGAAGTGAATAAAATAAAATATGGCAGAAAGATGCTGATTACTTCGTTAAGTTCAATTTTATATTTAAAAAATTCTTTCTTGTTTTTCTAAGTATAAAATTGATAATATATTAGAAAGTATAAAAGTTCATGAGAGTTGAAAATATTTGCCCCAAATTCTACTGGCCAAAGAAAACTGGTTAGAAGAGATGTCTTCCAGCCTGCCTGCCTTTCATCCTTCATTCCGTTTCTTTCTTCCTTCCTTTTTTTTTCTTTCTTTATTTTAATGTACACATTCCTACCTAGTTGTAATTGTAAAGCAATCTTTATCTTTTGGCATAATTGGCATTATCTCATCTTATTAAAAAAACTTTTATGACCTAAGTTTATATTTTATTTTTATTAAAATATTAAAATTTTAATTGCAAAATGTAAAAGAAAATGCTATGCAAAAAGCGAAGAAAATAAAAACCACCATCGTCTCTACTACTCAGAGATAATTATTAACAATTCTTACTACATTTTTTCTTGACATTTTATGTGTTCTTATCTATAATTTAACAAAATTATTGTTTTTTATATGGAATTTTGTAATTTTTTATTATTACCTATGTATTATGAATATCTTTTCTAACTGTATCTTATTGTATACCATCACTTTTATTTAAATAATTTCTACTTTTGGGCACTTAGGATATTCCAATTTTTCATAATATAAGAAGTGCTATACTTGTCCTAATTAAAAAAATATATAAACACACACACATACACACCCACCCCATGGAATTGCTAAGCAAAAAATAATTTACATGAATTTTTCAGGCTTTGGCTACATACTACTAAGTTTTTATCTTGAAAGTATATACCAACTTACACTACCAGCAGCAAAGTGATACCCATTTCTCTACGACTTCACCAACACTGGCTAGTATTAATCATTAAAGAAAAACTATGTGGTATTCTTATTTATGTATTCTGATATGAATAAGAAATTATGTCCCTCATTACTAATGAGGTTAGATATTTCTTTATGTGTATATGGCACATTTTTATTTCTTCTTTTTTTGAACTGCCTGTTAAAAGCATAATTTTTATACTGGCATAGTTCTCTCATGTGGATGTACCATTATTTATCTAAGCATTCTCTATTAAAAGGGAAAAAAGCAAAGTATATGTGTGAGGAGTTCAAGCCAAGAAAAAATACATTATTATCTGTGTTTGGAACAGTATAACAAGATCTTATTGCCTTCCAACTTTTCTAGAGACTTCCAGAGTTTTACCTATCATATTTAACACTGGAATGAACATCTTTGGGGATGAAGGGTTTTTGTATGTATATGTTCGGGATATTTAAGATAAATTCCTGGAGGTATTGCTACTAGTTCAAAAAGCATGACTATTATAAATGTTCTAATTATAGCCAGTATTACTTTAATATAAAATTATCCTTTATTATAGCAATTATATAAACCACTGTTAATCTGAGAACAGATGTCTATAAAGGCAAAGTAGACTAAATTCTGGTACTGGCAGGTCAAGGTGTCCTTTTGTATTTGATATGAAATATCAAGTAAGATAGGAAGCATATCTTGCCAAAGGTTCCACATGGGATCATTCATTCATCTTGTCACACAAACACATAGGATTCTGGAATTATTAGCTAGAACAACATGTCCTTCAATCCAAATCATGCATATGTTAGTGAAGATGGAGGCAGAAATGGAACTGTGAGGTCAAAGATGTTTGTATGCCTTTTCCTTGTTCTTTTTGGATAAACTTCTGGCACCATATAGCATAGCTCCTCTAGAAATTATTGGGGAAAAATACGCTTTAAAAATTATCCTTGGTGAGGATTTCAATTCCTTCGTTTTTTCAGTGGGGGAGGCTGTAAAGTAAATTAAAGCCTTGAGATCAGTGTGTGTGAGTATATGTACATATATGTCTGCTTATGTATATGGTGGTAAGGAATAAAAGAGTTTTTAAACCTACTTGATGATCCAAGAAGCTTTTTTAATATGCGTATTTCTGAACCTACCTTGGAGTATGGAGTAGAACCATAATATTGTATTTTAATGTGCTTTTCAGGTGTTCCTGATAACTGGTCAGACTTGTCTTCTGGTTGCTATTAGGCTGATGTCCCCTGTTATTCTAATAATTGTCCCTTCATATACTGTCTTTTCTCTCCACTTGCCCTTCCACTAGAATTCCCTTGTCTTCAGTGTTCTGCACTTCAAATGATGCATCTAGCTGTAGATTTTATGTTATGCACAGGACTCAGTGTGCTTCTTCAATCTGAGAATCTGCTTCTGCCTTTTATAAGTTCTGGAAAATTCAATCTGCTTCTGCCTTTTATAAGTTCTAGAAAATTCACAGCCATTTTCACTAAAATATTGCCCCTTCTCCATTTTCTCCTTTTGAAATTTCCATTAGACCTAAGTTGTAACTTTAATCTTCCATATCTTTTAATTTCTCTTTCGGATTGTAGCCCTCTTTATCTTTCTCTGCAGCACTTTGGGTAATTTCCTCAGATACAGCTTTCACATCACTAACTCTTCAGTCGTGCCTAATATGCTCTTAAAGTTGGTCACTATGTTTAATTTTATTCATGATTTTTTTATCTTGAATTGTTCTATTTGGTTGTTTTCCAGATATTACTGTTCTTTTTTAATGTCCTGGTTTTTCATGAGAGTTTTTATTCCTCTCTATCTCTTTAAGAGTGTAAATATACCTATTTCTAGACAGTTTTAGATTGTTACATTATCTCATGTTCTTAGGGTGCTATTTCTCTCATATGTGTCTGCTGACTCTCCCATATTTGGACTCTTTATTTGGTTTGTACTTTTTCATTGTGAATATATTTTCAGCTAGAATATTTCTTCCCTGTGGCATTCCTGTGTACCTTAAGATGTGGTAGTAATATTTTAGACAAGTTTTACATTTGATTCCTCTGGAAACTCCATGAGTT